GATGAGAATCACGTGAATAATGATGATGAATTGGCGAACCAATCTGAAAAGAAACAATGTTCTCGTGGGTTTCTGAATAGCAATGATGAACCTCCAGAAGCTTTCAGTGCTTTGTCAGATCTTAGTGGTGACTATGAAACTCATTTTAACAATCTGCAAATTGGCCGGTGGTACTACGAATATGCCTTAACCGCAGCCCTCTCACCCACTCCTCCACCATTGCCTTCACAATATCCAAACAAGAATGCATGGGATATAATACGACGCTCAGTGCAGGTCAAGCAGAATGCGTTTGCCCAGATGAACAATAATGGACTCCTTGCAAGACCAGCATTCTATCCCATGCGATCACCAATATTACCTGGGGGTGCAACATTGGGTATGGAAGAGATGCCGAAGCCACGAGGAACCGGGACATACTTTCCCAACATGGTATTCTCGTCATATTAAACTTCAAACACTTTTCGTCTTACAGTTTGTGTGGTTGAAGATGTACACTTCTTTCTTGTCTTTTGAGTATTTCTTTCTTTCCAGAACCATTACAGGGACAGACCACCATCAGCAAGGGGAAGGAACCAAGTGCTAGTGAGGTCGCCTCGAAACAATGGCCGATCATTGGAAACAACTGTACTCGAGAAAAGTAGTCAAGACTCGTACCAAGTACCAACTGTTAATCTTGCTGGTGGCATGTTGACTTCCACTGGTTCCTCTGTAAGGAAAGCTCAGCACAATGGGAATTCAATGTCACGACCTGATAGAGCGGTAGAATTTGGGTCTTTTGGGCATCTTCAATTAGAGTCGCCCGTAGATTGTAGCGGGGAATCAAGTCCTGTATCGGCAGTATTTTCATACTCAGAAGCTTTAAACGTTTCAAGTCCCAAGATGCAGAAAGCCAAACAAGCGTCAATCAAAGACCACGATAGGTACGAACACTTCATAACCCTTCCAGGTACTTATGCGATTACATGTCCTTGTTAAACTGTTTAAATTTTCTCTTTTTGTTCTGAATATGTAGGCTCTCTGTTCATATGCAATCGTATGAGTTGAAAGATGAAGAAGATTTCCCACCCTTATCCAACTGACACAAGTGGGGAATGGAGTTTATTTATACGGTTAGTCAGTATGAAACTGAGTAGGAAGAAACTGTAGTTGCTAACAAACAACAGTTTGCGATCCTCCTTCCATCTCTGCAATTTAGATGTTCTGTTCTATTTGTAGCTCAAAAAGCATTTTGTACATCCTACCAATTTATTTTGCTTTTCTCCTCAAATAACTCGATAGTCGTTTGTCGTGTTTTACACAGAAAGAGCCCTTTTTCATCTGAAACTAGGATGTTTGTAACAATGGTTGCTTCTTTTGACCCTCATTCCTCCATGTTTTTTGCCCTTTTCTCTTCTCCTTGTAGGTAAACATCCCAGCACAGAATATATTGTTGCCTATGTTTGTTGTAAGTTAAATGAAAATGCTTCTTTTTGGAGCCATCTCTACATTGCCCTATCCATCACCATAGCAACAGTGTTAATACCTTACTTACCTTCCTTATTTTGTGTTTTGTTTGTTTTGGCCCTTCCACTGTTAGCACAAATTTTCTGGGAAGGTCTACAGCTGTTTCCTATGGCTGAGCTGCATTTTCTTCTCATCTTATAGGAAAGAGCCTTTTGTTCTTTGTAGATGAAAAGAATTCCTTGGCTTAAGAGATTTGGAGTTGAGTCGTGAAATCATGGTTCATTTTTGGTTTAAACAAGTATCTAGTCTAACAACTTAAAATCTTGCTGCTCTTTGAGTTGTATAAATAGCTCAGATTTCTGTTGGCTTTGTTGTGTTTGTGTAGTTTGTTACGTCAATTCCAAAAGGATAAGTTGTGCTGGAATTGAGAAATTTTTGTGTAAGTTCATAATTGTATAAAAGGAGGAGAGACAGTGGGGCACGTCAAGGCACTTCTTGGTCCTTGTACGCCCGACCCGTTGGCCCGCTTTGAAGAATTCATAGGCCAGCAAGCCTCTAGGACAAGGGGGCGGGCACTACTAACCAAACCAAGCCTAGTTGTCACCGATAGGCGCTAGTAGCTTGCTTCCCAAGTCTTGCCATTAATCGAATTGGCTTCACTCATTTACTCATAGTTTATTCCAGAGTCGTTTTCTGATAACAAATGTCAATATAAGGGCTCTACCGACACTTTTTTTTCTTTTAAGTGTACAAGGCCTTCATTATTGGATTAAATGTAAATACAATGATCAAAAGGCCTGCATTATTCTTTAATCAAGATTCCTAAGGTGTTATTTGATGATTGAGGCTAGTTTTTGTTTAATCGATTTTAGTTATAGACTCATCAATGTTCGTCTAACTTACACGTTATCGAATCTAAGAAAAGAAGTTATTGATGGTTTTGTTTGATCGTTTCTTCATTGATTAGGCCCGAAAAAGATGAAATCAGAAGGAGACTTGTAGGGAAGCAATTGGTGAGCTATAAGCATCAGATCCTCACTTTTATAACATTGCGTAATAGGTTTCATAAAAAAGGGTATAATTATTGAGGAAACCCTAGAAATGAATTAAATAATTTAGTGATAAAAACATAGTTTATATTAAAAATCTCAACTATTTAATTAATAAGGAACAACTTGATAATTGACACGTCAAGTCAACTATATGTTTATAAAATTTGAGATGAAATTGACAAGAAACCAATGGGTACCAAACTCATCAAAATCTAACCCATGCTTATATAAAGTCAGCTCAAATATTTAAGTATAGGATTTATTAAAAATTTAGCATAATTGTGATAGAATCCTTTTTTTAGTTTGAATTTGTCATAGTTCCTAATTAATTGAAATATGCCCATTTTTTTCTTAAAAAATTTGGAGAATATTGATAAATTCAACACGCTTAGAGTTAGAGGCTGCCACGATAGAAAATAGCAGAAAAAAAAAACTTGCTAATGAGCCAAAGCGAACCTGCGCTATTACAAATGGTATTAGAGGTAGACACTAGGCCAGACACTAGGCGATATGCCAACAATGGCATTGGCCCTCAAGGGAGGTGGATTGTGAGATTTCACGTTGATTTGAGAGGGGAACGAAACATTTCTTATAAGGATGTGGAAACCTCTTCCTAATAGACGCGTTTTAAAATCGTGAGACTAATGGTGATACGTAATGAGTCAAAGCAGACAATATCTGCTAACGGTGGACTTGCGCTGTTACAAATTGTAGAGTATTTAGGCTGCACATTTATACCTATAATAGAATCTACTACTTGAGTTGCTCAGTGAATATCCCTTTTTATTGAGTCTGCTCCAATTATCTATGCGTTTTTTATAAATGTTATGTGGGTGGAAGCTTTCAATTTATATTGTTTTATTTTTATTTTCCACGTGTAATTTTTGAAATTAAAAAATAAAAGGTGGTCAAATTTAATTAAGAGTTAAAAACTTTTACCAAAATACATTTTAAAATAAAAGAGAAATTAAAACGGCAATTGGCCCTTTTTCATTATTGGCCCTTAGAAAGTCAACTTAAATATTAAAATATTTTACTTTCTTATTTATTTATTTATTTATTTATTTATTTACTTATTTATTTATAAATATAATCATCGGCTCATTGTTTAATTTAGCCCATCCGGCTGCCTTCAACTCCTCAACTTTCTTTTTATTTATAAATATAATTATCATTTTTATTTTATTTTGGATTCTAATAAAGTTTTTTTTTACCCTTTATATTTAGTTTTAAAAATACAAATTTTTTTAAGAAGTTTTTTTTATATATAAAATTAATGATTAATTCTCTATTTGTTGTACTTAAACTATCTAATTAATGTAAGCTATCTCAAAAATTAAAAGTCACGAACACAGGTGCCTTAAATATTAAATTACAATTTAGAAAATATCTTCAAAAAAATCTTTGATTTTGTATCTAATATATCTTTAAATATATATTTTTTTAATAAACCCTAATTTATTACCCATTTAGAAATCAAAATCTATTATACGTAAAATTGAAAGAGAATGAATATATCGAACAGATTCATAAAATTAGAAAAGGTTGAATATTTTAGTATATAATTTATATCGACCCGACACGTATGCATTAAATAAATTCTCGAACTTAATTTGCTATTAAATCCTTGAGTTTAAAATTTTATACTTAATAATTTACTGAACTTCCAACGTCACCGTTAAATTCTTCTAATGAATTTATTGTACAAAAAATTTATACCGAAGAATTATTACATAAAATTAAAAGGACTCATTTGACATTTTTAAAATTAAAAGGACGTAATAAAAATTTGGAAGTAAGTTTAAATTTATTTGAAAATTATGACTAACCAATTACCACAACACAACCCTTCTCACAGTCTGCCGGCTGGCTCGCAGCCGAAGCCGAACCAGCCACTAAATTCTCCGTTTAAAATCAACCCCGTCACCGTCAACAGACGTCATCCGTTAAAAAAACAAACGCCTCTTGTTCTTTCTTCATTTCATTCCATTTTGCATAATAAACTGAGTTCCCAAATTTTGCATTGAAAGAGAAAATTTTGTGTTCTAAGAAAATCAAGCCAAATTTTCCCGAGAAAATTTCACAAATGGTTGTAGCAAAGCGAGGGCACAGATTCTTCAAATTCAGATTATTATTCCATTTCATCTCTTGTTCTTCCTCCATTTCCAGTTCATAATCTCAAAAAAGCTTCCATCTTTTCATTTTCCCATCATCCAAACACCTTTTTCTTTTCTGGGTTTTGGATTTTGACACAAATGGTTTCAAAATATTACCACAAATTTTCACGTGGGGTTGTTGAAATGAATTGGATTAAGCTGATTTGTGTTCATTACTCAAATCTTTTCTGGTTTTTGTTTGGATTTTTCTCCAATGAAAACTATCAAGGGAAGCCTCGGATCATCTAGCAATTCCTTCATCCTTTTTTCTCTTCAATAATTCTGTTTGAATTTTACAAAACAATACTTTTTCAATATATATAATTGTTTCTATTTTGATTTTGATTTTGATTTTGAGCTAAGAACAATGGCACAGCCTTCTGGGTATGCTGAAACAGACCCATCTGGTCGCTATGGACGGGTAAGTTTCTATAAACCCTACATACTCCTTTAATTCCCTTTCTTTCCGTGTATATTTTACGTTAAATTATATAAATTACTCGGAAAAATTTGCTATGGGTTTTGAATAAGATGATGATCGAGTACTATTGTGCAAAATTGAAAAGATATCGTCTCCTAAACTAACACACAATGATCGTAAAAGTTGATTATAAAACGTATTCTATATTAAAATCAGTTGAACTATGCTTAAATTGACTTTAAAATATGTTGTAGTTCATAATATTGTTATTTTTAGGTTGAATTATATAAATTACTCTAAAATTCAAAAGATGATAATCGAAGACTATCGTGTTTTACAAAAGTTCAAAGAAGATAATATCAACAGTTACTGTGCAGTTTAGAGAGATTCTGGGGAAAGGAGCGATGAAGACGGTATACAAAGCCTTTGATGAGGTGCTTGGGATTGAAGTGGCATGGAACCAAGTCCAGCTCAAAGATGTGTTCCATTCCCCTGAGGAACTACAACGTCTCTACTCAGAAGTTCATCTCCTAAAGAACCTCAACCACGACTCGATCATCCGATTCTACGCTTCTTGGATCGATACTCATCGTCGAACCTTCAACTTCATCACCGAAATGTTCACCTCTGGCAGCCTTAGAGAGTACTACTCATAATTCACAACGTTATTCTATTTTGTTCTTGTTCTTGTTCTTGATATTTGTTCATTTCGCTTCGCTGATGCTATTAGGTACCGACAAAAACATCGAAACATCAATATCGAAGCGATCAAGAACTGGTCTCGACAAATCCTACACGGCCTAGCTTATCTTCATGGACATGATCCTCCTGTAATCCATAGAGATCTTAAATGTGATAACATATTCATCAATGGCCATCTTGGGCAAGTTAAAATTGGTGACTTGGGACTTGCAACTATCCTTCATGATTCTCAACACGCTCATAGTGTCATAGGTAAGCTTCTCGATTCGAGTTTCATATTTCTATAATGATATGATATTGTCTTAAAAAAACGTTTTGACGATCGAAGTTTGCAGGTACACCCGAGTTCATGGCACCGGAGCTGTATGATGAGGATTATAATGAGCTTGTAGATGTTTATTCCTTTGGAATGTGTTTGATTGAGATGCTCACTTTGGAGTATCCTTATAGCGAGTGCTCCAACCCTGCTCAGATATACAAGAAAGTCACTTCGGTAAGTCAATAAAAATATGATCGATCTCTCTAAACTATTACGATCTGTATCGATTTAGTAATGAGTTTCGATAAGGGTGTGGAAACCTAAACCTATTAGATACGTTTTAAAACCGTGAGGCTGACGACGATATGTAACGAGCCAAAACAGATAATATCTACTAGCATTGGGCTTGGGCTATTACAAATGATATCAGAGCCAGATATCGAGTGGTGTGCCAGCGAGGACGTTGGGCCCTCAAGGGGGTGGATTTGAGATCCCGCATCGGTTGGAGAGGGAAACAGAACCTCTCCCTAGTAGACATGTTTTAAAACCGTGAGGCTGACGACGATATATAATAGGCCAAAACGAACCATATCTACTAGCGTTGAGCTTGGACTGATACAAATGATATTAAAGCCAGACACCATAGGGTATGCCAACGAGGACGTTGGGCTCCCAAGGGGGTGGATTGTGAGATCCCACGTCAGTTAGAGAGGGGAACGAAGCATTCCTTATAAAGGCGTGGAAACCTCTCACTAGTAGACATGCTTTAAAACCGTGAGGCTAACGACGATATGTACAAGCCAAAGCGGATAATATCTGCTAGCAGTAGGCTTGAGTTGATACAAATGATGTTAGAGCCAGACACCAGGCGGTATGTCAGCGAGGACGTTAAGCCCTCAAGGAGTGGATTGTGAGATCCCATATCGGTTAGAGAGAGGACGAAGCATTCCTTATAAGGGTGTGAAAATCTCTCTCTAATAGAGATGTTTTGAAAGAGGCTAACGACAACTCGTAACGGGCCAAAGCGAAAATTTAAGCAAATCCAAACTAGTAAGATCTTGGTCCGATAAAGAAATTGCATGGCACGAGCAGGGAAAGTTGCCAAATGCGTTCTATGGGATCAAAGACTTGGAGGCCCAAAATTTTGTAAAGAAATGCTTGGAGAATGTTTCAAAGAGGGTGCCTGCCAAAGAGCTCTTGCTTGACCCATTTCTAGCTTCCAATAACAACAATGGCTCTCATCAAGAACACTTCTTGTGTTCATCACAAACTCCAAACAATTCAATGTCAAGAAGGACAGACATGGTCATTTCTGGATCAATGAATCCCAACGACGATACCGTTTTTCTAAAAGTGCATATCAAAGTGAAGAACGGTAAATATCGCTAACTCTTACCCTACGAATCTTCGTTCAATTTTAGTCTCTAAATTTTGGTTTCATTCAATATTGATTTCTTTTTTCTAATTTGAAAACTCGTCGTATGCACGTGGATAGGTAAAGCTAAGAACGTACACTTTGCTTTCGACACAATAAACGATACAGCCATCGACGTTGCGACTGAGATGGTTAAAGAGTTGGAAATCGGTGATTGGGATCCGAGTGAGATAGCTATGATGATAAAGAATGAGATATCCACATTGATACCCAATTGGGAGGAGTATCATCAAGATAGCTTCAACTATGATGAACAAGAAGAAGACGGTGGCGACGATGATGAAAGCTACGTAACCCGACATCCTTTCTACTCGTGCTCCTCCCATGCCTCCTCCTCAAATTCTCTTGAGGGTTTCTACTCTTTCTATGAGAATTCCCATCATCATATTTTGGATGGTGTGAATATTGATGATGATGATAAAGGTTCTTCCTTCAATTACTCTGAAGTAAGCTTTTGTTCAATCAATGAAGATGAGTATGGAAGAGATCCTCAATGCATATCAACCACCAAGAACCCTACAAGATTTTGCCCTACCATGAAGATAGACACGCACCATTTGAGGTATAAGGACACTAAAGTAATGGTGGATCGAGAAGCGTTCGAGAGACGATCCCGATCTGATAACTCAGCTAGACTTACGAGGGTGAAGTCAATGGTGAACCTCCGTAGCGAGGCGTTGCACCGATCGTTAGTTGAGATGTTGTTGAAGAAGCGATTGTTTAATACGGTGGATGCCATGGAGAATATTGGATACCAAAAGCCATAGGGTAACCTAATGTTCATCAAGAACCAACAAAGTAATGTTCTTGATGTTCATGAATGGTTTCATTAGGGGTTGGAGGATTTGTGTATAAATAAATGAAACAAACTTAAATGTGTGCTTGTATTTGTTTTGCATTTGTAAAATGTGTGAAACATAATGCTTCGATAATTAAACGTAGTCTAGGTTATATGCTTAAAATCCTTTGATATTGATTTGATTAATCTTACTGGTAGAGCGATTCAAATCTCAAATACGTTTAGATCGATAATATAATATGAATCTTACTTTTCTTGTAGTTTTTATGTTTTTAGATATTTTAGATCGAAGTTCGTGTGATTTCATATCATTTGGGATGAAATCAGGTTGATTTTAAGGCTTTAGTTGTGATTAGGGTTTGCATATTAGTTCTTCGATCCAATTGGCTAGAGTTTTCAAATATGATTTTTTTTTAAGTAACGAACAACTCCCTAACCTAATGTGGCACTGGGTTCGAGCCACAAGGAACTGTAGCACGGGGGACGTCTATCCTTTTGTCGCCACAAGGCTGGCTAATCGTACGCAGCAAGCTCGAAGACCCCTAATTCTGGAAGGCATAAGAGTCTGAACCCTATGTTGAATGTGCCACCGACACTACACTACGTAGGTACCTGTGTAGGTGAGGCATCAGTCGGTCCTAGAAACAGCGACAATGGTGCGAGGAGTTAATGTAGCATGGGAAAACTGTAGCATGGGGGGACGTCTAATCCTTTTGTCGCCGCAAGGCTGGCTAATCATACGCAGCAGGCTCGAAGACCCCTAATTCTGGAAGGCACAAGAGTCTGAACACTATGTTGAATGTGCCACCAACACTACGCTACATAAGTACCTGTGTAGGTGAGGCGTCAGTCGATCCTAGAAACAACGACAATGGTGCGAGGAGTTAATGTAGCATGGGGGGACGTTTATTCCTTTTGTCGTTGTAAGGCTGGTTAATCGTACGCAACAGGCTCGAAGACCCCTAATTCTGGAAGGCACAAGAGTCTGAACACTATATTGAATGTGCCACCGACACTACGCTACGTAGATACCTATGCAGGTGAGGCGTCAGTCAATCCTAGGAACAATAACACCGGTGCAATGAGTTAATGACCAGACGTGTTACAATCTAGGGATCACCAGACAACTCTTTCCATCTACAGGGACCAAAGGGGCATAACACACAATCCTACCATAACGTACTCCTATCTATAGCACCGACAACTGTCGAAAATGAACTAAAAACTAATATATTATTAAATTATTTACTCTATTATTATTATTATTTATAGGAGAAATAATAAATAAATAAATAAATAATGAATTAATGATAAGCATTAAGTAACAAACACAAAACGTGCATACTACGCCATAAATGACCCAATTGGGCCCTTCAAAACAAATTTTCTATTTTTTTTAATATATATATTTATTAAAAAAAAAAACCCACATAATCAGAACTAATAAACTCCCAATTTCGCCGCCGTCCACCGTCGTTATTAAAAAATATGGCTCTCTCACGCACAAAATCCCGCTTGACAATCCCAGCTCCGCCGCCGTCTCCGATCCCCACTGGCACCGGATCGCGCTCGGCGGCCAACGAGACCTTCAAACAATTTCTCGAGAAGTCGATTCACCTACCGCAGCTCTCTTTGCCGGAATCCCGCTTTATCTCCACCACTAATCCTTCTCTCGCCGTCATTGATTTCCGATCACTTGCTTCTCCAAGTGGCGGAGACGCGACGGCGCGAATGCTCCGGTCGGTGAATGAATTCGGGGCGTTTCGTATCGTTAATCACGGGATTTCCGGCGAGGAGATTTTGTCGGTGGTGAATGAAGCTAAATCCGTATGGGAAGATGATGATCGGAGCTGGGCTGGAGACGTCGGAAATCGGGAGGTGGTTTTCCAGGTACGGCGCCGGAATGACAGCGAGGCGTCGGAAAATACTGTTGTACAGGCCGCAACGAACCGGCAAATCAGGTAAAATTCCGATTCCATCCAATAACTTTGAATGTTTCCGATATGTTTCAAAATGGGCTGTAATGGGCTGGGCTTCGCTGTAAGTGGCCCAAGTCAGGCCCACTTTTTACGGAAATGTTTTCTTAGAATTTATTTATTAATAGGAATTATATATATATATATCTACATAATATATATATGTATATATGTGTGTATATATATATATACACATACATATATGTATGTATATAATTCCTATTAATAAATAAATTAGGGTTTTAGGATTTAGACATATATATAGACACACACATATATACATATATATATATATATATATTTTCTTAGAATTTATTTATTAAAAGGAATTATATACATATATTTATATAATTTAAAAAAACCTAATCAAATAGGTTTAATTTGATTTTTTAGTTATTTAATGTGAAATTAATTAAAATTAATTAATAAAAAAGTTTTTAGTTGAAGCTAATACTTTACTTTAAAAATATCGAACTTTAAGAATTTTAAAAAATTCTTATCCATTAATATATGGATAAAAACTGTATATTGACACTTCATATATTATCTCTACTAATCTTCCGGTTTTTTTTTTTTTTTTGGTCTCGGATTCCAATAATTTGTATTCCATTCTTTACTAAATTCGAAAAATTTTCGATTTCGAACCCAATCAACTGAGTCCAACTATTATCTGTACTAACCCGTTTTTGAATTGAATTCGATCTGGTTTGATTCGGGTCGACTTGCAGCGAAAAGATGGAGAAAATAAGAAGCAAACTAGAAGGGATTGAAGAGAAAATAAGCGAAAGGTTATGGAAATGCATGGGTGAGAACATGAAGAAAGGAGACAAAAAAGAGACCATTTTCAGCATTTATAGATACAATAATAATCACCAAAACCCTAACCCATGTGAGAGGGAAAATAAAAATAAGAACATGATGAGCCTCCACATCCCCGTAGAGCATTGCCAATTCTCTATCAATTCTCATCAACAACCCTCCTCCTTCAGCTTTGATGCTGCTGCCGACACGATTGTCGTCACCCTCGGCGAGCAACTCGTGGTAATCTTATTCGTACTCTTGTGTTTCATGACTAGTTTACGGATGTTGTTTAGGTTTCATTTGATAACTATTAAACCCGTTTGATTTTGATAGGAACAAAGTTTGGGGAAATTGAAGAGTGCAAGAAGTGAGATGACGTTTGTGCCAGACTTGCTTGGAAGTGGAACGTCGTTCTCGATTGAGCTTGAAGTTTCAAACACTAATTTAGTGAAAAAGCATTCCCATTCTAAGATCATCACTATTTATGATCAAATCCTGGTTGCGTTTTATGTTATTTCAGTTTATGTTCTTTACAATTTCATGTGCTCATTGTTTAAAGGCAAATAAGCATTGGGTTTGTGATTGAATGTTCATATGATTGGTTTGTTGGTTGAAGGGTTTATTGGGATTTGTATTAGAAAGTGATTTGTATTTGAAGAAAAGTGTGGAATTGAATATTGAATATTGTAATTTCATTTATATACTTACAAGGATGGTGATGTTATTTCTTACCGTCAACCGACCTTCTGCCACCGATCATTACTTCATAAAAACGGGGAGAGATTTCTACACGCTTATAAAAAAATGTTTTGGGCCAATGTCCTTACTAGCACGAGGCCCGTACTCCTTTCCTTTCGGGCTCAATCTCACAATCCACCTCCTTTTGGGGCCTAGTGTCCTCGGGATCCCCCAATCCACCTCTCTTTGGGGTCAGCGTCTTTGTTGGCACACTGTCTCGTTCTCGTGTCCACCCCTGAACGCTGGCACATCGTCCGTGTCTGCTTCTGATACCGTTTGTAACAGCCCAAACCCCACCACTAATAAATATTGTTCTCTTTGAGGCTTTTCCTTTCAGCTTTTCCCTCAAGGTTTTTAAAACACGTCTGCTAAGGAGAGGGTTTCACATTCTTAGAAAGAATATTTCGTTCTCCTCCCCAACTGATATGGGATCTCACGGATTGTTCGAACAAAGAATTGTTTTATGAACAATATGTTCGAGTTTAGTTTTCATGTCAATTCTTCTGCTCGTTTTTAATAATATCGATATTTTTTTAATTATTCTTAGTATAAATATGCCTTCGACACATCATGATAACAAGTAGTACCACGATTTCAAGATGACCCATGTATTAGTTTCAGTCGACTCTAGCTTAGAATAATTCACCAAGCACGTTAAAAACAATAAGCTTCAACTTAGCGGTAATCACCTTATCTCTGGCGGAATTATTGAGGATATAGACATTTTTCTCTTTATTATATAAAATATTTTAAATATTTATGTCTGTCTAAATAATGATACAATAATTAAAATCTTGAGTTTATGCATTAAATTTTTGTTTTAATATATTCTTGCAATTGAAATGATATTATTTATTTATTATGACGTGTATTAAATGTAAATTAACACATTCCAATAAATACTTTTATCATATGATAATTCTACGATTATTAATTAAGTTGCCCTCTCGTTGTTGTTGTAATACTTGCATCTCGAAGCTAATGCACTAGATCTCATCAAAACATTTGTAATCGAACAGCCTATTGTGTGTCTTAGTCTACTATTAGACTATGTAGCATTATCTAATGTCAAATCTTGAGGACTTGTAGGTCAAAGAAAAGGAGATGTCTTGACGAGGTGAGTGTCACGTATCGTTTCGTTGAAAAGGGTGTGTGAGATCCTACATCGTTGGAGAAGGGAACGAAGCATTCGTTATAATAGTGTGGAAACCTCTCCCTAGTAAACGTGTTTTAAAACTGTGAAGCGGAAATATGTAACGAGCCAAAGCATACAGTATCTATTAGCGGTGGACTTAGACTGTTACAAGGTATGCTGCCACCACCTAATAGACTCCAAAGTAGGGGTGCATATGAGTTGGGTACGGAAATCTTTCGGTCCAACTCGAAATTTCGAGTTGTTTAAGTTGGTGACATAAGAAATATAAATAGAGTTCACAACACAACCCAGCCCCATCTTCTACTTTCGGGTCGAATTTATCAAATACCAAACATTCCTAAGTCATAGCATATCACTAATATCAGTTACAAACGTCAAATATCTTTAATCTTAGAGATAGGGTTGGGTTGGGTTGTAACCTCGTCTTTGGGTTAGTCGACCCGAAAAAAAATATATCAACCCACGAACCGACTCGGATTTT